AATGAATAAAAATGAATAAAAATGAAATAAAAATGAATAAAAATGAATAAAAATGAATAAAAATGAATAAAAATGAATAAAAATGAATAAAAATGAATAAAAATGAATAAAAATGAATAAAAATGAATAAAAATGAATAAAAATGAATAAAAATGAATAAAAATGAATAAAAATGAATAAAAATGAATAAAAATGAATAAAAATGAATAAAAATGAATAAAAATGAATAAAAATGAATAAAAATGAATAAAAATGAATAAAAATGAATAAAAATGAATAAAAATTAATAAAAATGAATAAAAATGAATAAAAATGAATAAAAATGAATAAAAATTAATAAAAATTAATAAAAATGAATAAAAATGAATAAAAATGAATAAAAATGAATAAAAATGAATAAAAATGAATAAAAATGAATAAAAACGAATAAAAACGAATAAAAATGAATAAAAATGAATAAAAATGAATAAAAATGAATAAAAATGAATAAAAATGAATAAAAATGAATAAAAATGAATAAAAATGAATAAAAATGAATAAAAATGAATAAAAATGAATAAAAATGAATAAAAAATGAATAAAAATGAATAAAAATGAATAAAAATGAATAAAAATGAATAAAAATGAATAAAAATGAATAAAAATGAATAAAAATGAATAAAAATGAATAAAAATGAATAAAAATGAATAAAAATGAATAAAAATGAATAAAAATGAATAAAAATGAATAAAAATGAATAAAAATGAATAAAAATGAATAAAAATGAATAAAAATGAATAAAAATGAATAAAATGAATAAAAATGAATAAAAATGAATAAAAATGAATAAAAATGAATAAAAATGAATAAAAATGAATAAAAATGAATAAAAATGAATAAAAATGAATAAAAATGAATAAAAATGAATAAAAATGAATAAAAATGAATAAAAATGAATAAAAATGAATAAAAATGAATAAAAATGAATAAAAATGAATAAAAATGAATAAAAATGAATAAAAATGAATAAAAATGAATAAAAATGAATAAAAATGAATAAAAATGAATAAAAATGAATAAAAATGAATAAAAATGAATAAAAATGAATAAAAATGAATAAAAATGAATAAAAATGAATAAAAATGAATAAAAATGAATAAAAATGAATAAAAATAAATAAAAATGAAATAAAATGAATAAAAATGAATAAAAATGAATAAAAATGAATAAAAATGAATAAAAATGAATAAAAATGAATAAAAATTAATAAAAATGAATAAAAATGAATAAAAATGAATAAAAATGAATAAAAATGAATAAAAATTAATAAAAATTAATAAAAATTAATAAAAATTAATAAAAATTAATAAAAATGAATAAAAATGAATAAAAATGAATAAAAATGAATAAAAATGATTAAAAATAAATAAAAATAAATAAAAGTGAATAAAAGGCTAATGACCTTAGATGTTGAAGCCGTACACTAAAGAAAAAAAGTGAATAAAAATATATAAAAGTGAATAAAAGTGAATAAAAATAAATAAAAATAAATAAAAATGAGAAAAAATAAATAAAAATGCATGAAAATCAATAAAATTAATAAAAGTCATGTATTTTTTATATTAATAACACGACTACATGCGAGCAAAGTCGCGAGCACAGCCGCGGGCAATAGCTAGTGGAATATATTAAAACAGGGCATTTATTTTAAATGAATAGTCTTACTGATTTGCTTTATGGAAATACCATTTCCGTTGCGGTTTCTTTTTGTTGGTATTCTCATTGATTTAATTTTTGTATCCTGAATTAAATCATTGTTATAAAGCTATAAGCATTACTAGTGCTACGTGTCTCTCAAAGACGACTTATTTTATTTTTCCTCTTTCGACGATAAGGGCCCAAATACAAGAAATATTAAACCCTCCACCAATTTCGGTGGACTATTTTCTCTCTCCAACGTTTTAAAGTAATGCGTGAGAAGACATGCGCGTAAATTATTTTCTTATGGTTGGTTTTTCGTTTATTTTTAAGTTTTTGTTGTGTTTTTCGTAAAAAACTTTTCCTCCACTATTTTCTCTGGGCCATTTTTTCTCTTAAATTGGTTAATTTTCAATTTTTTGTTATGCGTTTCACAAAATTCACCTCTTTCACCAATTTTGCTATGCCATTTTTTCTCTCCGTTTTAATATGATGCGTGACTTACTTTCCAAACTGGATGCTTGTACCGAAGTAAGATAAACATAATAGTGTCCATCAAGAATATTGGTCCGTTTTTAGTGTCCATCGAAAATAAAGAAGTATAAAAAATAAATAATTGTTTTATATGAACGCAATAACTTTAATTATTTTTGATCAGATTTTGAGGAAAGTGAGTAACAATTCGCTCACAGAATTTAAAAATCTTCACCAGCCATTTAAAAGATCTAAATTATATTGTTTATTATTATAAAAAAACATTGTAGAGTGAATGTACCAGTAATTACCACTAGTCGAAGCAATGAAGCAAAAAGTTCCTGGGTTTTTCCGTGCAAGTCGTATCGGAATGCGATTTTTTGCATTCGCTTGCAAAAATTATTTGTATCATTCCCCCGTAATTTCCGGGTCATACAAACCGGAAATTGCATTGCTGCAGCCAAAAATGCATTATTTGAGAGGCCTCTCGGATGATTTCAAAACTTGTTAAATAAGTGTCAGAACTAGCCCAGATCGGGTTCTCGGAGGTTTTCGAGATCGCTGATCACGATTATGATGTCTAAATTGACCCAGAGCCGACCTACAGCTTAGGAACGTCGACGAACGTCATCTTCGTGGGACTCTCCCAAAATTCGCGCGGGGAAGGAGGGCAACTAGGCGATCGGAGTTTTTGTGGGTCGCTGAATCCAAATATGGCATTGGCGAATACCTCCTGGACACCTGGTGCGCCCAAACCTCGACCTGGACGTCATCTCCGAGAATTTTCCTCACAATATCGACAACAACAACCCGAAAATGATTGAGCGGAGTTTTTTGGGGCGCTGAATCTAAATTTCACGTCGAAAACGACCCCTTGAACACCTGGTGCACCGGAACTTGGCCCTGAACGTCATACCCGAGGGGTTTTCAGACACAATTGAAAAAGACGAACCGAAAATCGTTCCCGGGGGTTTTTTGGGACGCTGAATCCGAATTTCACGTGGAAAACGACACTTCGAACACTTGGTGCGCCCTAACTTGGCCCTGAACGTCTTCACCGAGGTTCTTCCAGACCCAATTGAAAAAGACGAACCGAAAATCGTTAAAGGGGAGGGTTTGGGTCGCTGAATTCAAATATGGCATCGGCGAACACCGCATGGACACCTGGTGCATCTGAATCTAGACCTGGACGTCATCTCCGAGGCGTCAATACTGCAATAGCTGTGTGCAATTGTTGATTCTAGATTACGTAAGGAGGAAAGATAGAGAATGAATAGAAACGCAATATGTATGTAATTTACGGTAAAACAATTTTTATTGGCCTCAAATCGAATACAATGAACCTGTAAGTTTGTCATTCCTTAATTAATTAATAACTCAAATGTGTCTGGTTATTTTCTTCGTCTTTGACTGATATATTCATACGGGGAACATCTCCCTCATCTGAGGCCTCTGTCTCTGGCACATTAACGTTTTCATCTGAATATCTTTCAGTGTTGAACCTTCACAAATTTTACAGGCAAGATTGCAAGGTAGGCCGTGCTTCCTGCAACTACAGGTGTTCAGATTACAATCTCCTTTGCATCCACAAAATAATAGTTCCATAATATTCTTTTTCAATTGGGTCTGGAAAACCTCGGTGAAGAAGTTCAGGACCAGGTTAGGGCGCAACAAGTGTTCAAGGGGTCGTTTTCGACGTGAAATTTAGATTCAGCGCCCCAAAAAAACTCCGCTCAATCATTTCCGGGTTGTTCTTGTCGATATTGTGAGGAAAATTCTCGAGGATGACGTCCAGGTCGAGGTTTGGGCGCACCAGGTGTCCGGGGGGTATTCGCCGATGTCATATTTGGATTCAGCGACCCAAAGAAACCCCGATCGCCTAATTGCCCTCCTTCCCCGCGTGAATTTTGGAAGAGTCCCACGAAGATGACGTTCGTCGACGTTCCTGAGCTCCAGGTCGGCTGTGGGTTAATTTAGACATCATAATCGTGATCAGGGACCTCGATAACCCCCGAGCACCCGATCTGGGCTAGTTCTGACACTTATTTAACAAGTTTTGAAATCATCCAAGAGGTCTCTCAAATAATGCATTTTTTGAATACATTTTTGGCTGCAGCAATGCAATTTCCGGTTTAAATGACCCGGAATTTACGGGGGAATGATACAAATAATTTTTGCAAGCGAATGCAAAAAACCGCATTCCGATCCGACTGCAAGGAAAAACCCAGGAAGTTTGGCCTTTTTAGTGCTTCATTGCTTCGACTACACTTTAAGGTTCGAATTTTAAATATTTAGTTACTGTAGTTTTAAATAACTCAATATAATAATTTGGACTAGTTTCGGCACTCAGAAAGCCAACATATTTATGTTTTTATTTTTGGCAAAAAATAATTTTCTTTATCACTTTTTTTCACAACATAAAAAACACTATAAATTTTTGTTCATTTAAATATTTGCTACACTTAAAGTCCAATATTCGCCATATGGAAAAACCACTTATTTACTTGGAGAATTAAGATTAATTATGAGTTTTTGGGTTCCAATATGTTATTAATTAAAATCAAATAGGACTTGGAACAAGTCTTTATTACAAATGCATGAAAAAAAAAAATACAAACCTACTAAAAAAAGCATTAATAATAATAATATTAATAATAATAATAATAATACTCTCCCTAATTCACCCCCTTACGAGTGAATTTTAACCCCAAAAGCTGAGCTTGTCCGGGGAAAGGGACGGCTATTATTATTATTATTATTGATGGTGCCATTTGACTTACAGGTGAGGAAAACCCGGAAAACCTCACCCACCATCATGAATTAGTTTTGATATAAGGGTTAAAATTTTTTGTTGTTTAATTTTCAACAAATGGTAAACAGATTTAATTTTCCTTAGAACATTGTTTTCAATATAGAACGGTTCATTTCCAAATAGCGTTATGGGCCCATAAAAAATGTATTTCTTTTGTATTAGATCTAAGTCTGGATTTTGGGGCCATACAAATGAATTCTCCAATCTTTCTTTCACAAACTTTATCTCTACGTTGTTATTTTCAATCTTTATTACCCTTCCAATAAAAACTGCTCTTCATAGTATATAGCATAATAATATTCTAATTTAATGTCAATATTATTGAGTTCAAGTTTAGATGAATCTGGATATTCATTGTTTTCGTCAAATGAGAACATTTCTGATTCGTCTGAAGTTTCATTATACAAAATTGATTCATCTTCTGATGTTGAAGTGTCTTCATTTAAAGGTCTCTTTTTTGATAGATTTTTATTTTTTGTATTTTTCTTTACTTTAGCCTTCTCGGTTTTCTGCAATCTTTTTTGTTCTCTTTCCTGTTTTCGCTTTTCTTTTTGTAATTTTTCCTGTTCGTTTTTGGCATAGTATTTCTTCCACTCTTTAGATGTCACAACTAACGGCACTTTAGAGAGATAAATATTTATTTTGGCTTTTGTAACTAAAACCGTCGATGTTGGCAATCCTTTGGTCTTGGAAAATGGAGATTCTGTGCTAGAAGCGTCTAATTGACCCGTTTGTTGAACACTGAGTATATTTTTTTCTAGGGTTTGTTGCACTATTACTATATTGGTTTTTGCTGACATATTTTCAGATTTTACTACTTCTCTTAAAGTACTTGATTCTGCTGAATCTGCTTTGACAAATTTTTAGATTTATCTGCTTTGAAGTACTTGATCGTGCTAAGTCTGTATTTTTTGTTTCTTTTGTTCCTTCACTCTTTCTTTAATTTTCGCCAAACCTTGAATAATTCAGTAATCTTAACTTCTCCATTCTATTCACCCAAACTTTCTAATGTTTGTCTAAACTATATTAAATAATCTATGGCTATGTGCCTTCCTAAAGCTGAGAAATATTGTTTGACTTCTTGAGGGTTTTGTTGAAGTTTTCTCCATTGATCATCTTTGATATTATTAGATTGTTTTAAACATTTCAAAAAATCCACTTTATCTGGAGACCATGGATGTAAGCCACATCTTTTAAAACCATTCTTTGCAGATTCTGGAGTAACTTTTTAAAACACTTCTTAAAAAAGAATGGGAAAATTGAATTTGTTAAGGGTTTCCTCTAAATGATTAAATTTCCATTTATGTATATCTCCAGAATGTTTGCATCGGCTTAAATACACTTACGTCACATGGCTGAAGTATATGGGTTGAATTTGGATAGAAAGCCACTAGAATAATATTATTTTTAGCACAGAAGTCACTAACATGCAATGTAAGATGGGATGTCTGGCCATCTGAAAACAAGATAATAGGAAAGTTAATGTTGTTCTTTTTTAACCAGGGGGAAAACACGATTTTTTATCGTATTCTTTTGAAAGTTCATATATGTTACGTTCGCCTCTTGGAACAATGATTTTTCACTTTTAGAAAACGAGAACGTCAAAAACATTTTCATGTTTTAAACTAGTTTCAACTTCTGCGAGCCAGTTTTAAATTTCTTCCTCTACGACAACAGCTCGGTTTCCGCCTAATTGATCTGGGGTTCTTTTGGATAGTGCTTCTTTATGTCTTTTCATACATAATGTAAACCATTTTCTACCACATTTATTGTTATCTGCTGTTTAATATATTTTTTTTACTGTTGTTAGGAGTTAGGACATCATCTTCAACTAAAGGAAAACATATTCTGGATTAGGAAATAATGCAGTCAAGTTAGCGTTTTTCTTCTTCGGTCGTTAGAATTTTTCTTTCTTCTGGTGTTTTCCCATTTACTTTATGGCCAAGGTTCCTTCTTGGAACGCCGATTTAATTGAACTTCCGTGGCATACTTCAACAATTGCATTTTTCATTGCCTCCGTTGTATAACGAAAAAATGTTTTTTTTCTGGTGTCTGAGCCATTTTTCGTAATGAATCTGAAAAATACCAGTAAAGTACCAGTAAACTATTGGTTTTGTGAATAATATCACCATGCTGCTCTTTCTGCAGTAAATGCGTATGGTTTGTCAAAGTTATTTTAAACAAATTTTTTTTAAATATTTTTTACAGCCAATAGTTGCCACAGTGTGGCACTTACTGAAAATGTAACACTTCATATTTCCAGTAATTGCCACTCTATCTTAAAATATAAAAAACCCAATTATGTAATCATAAAATATAGAACTATTATACCATGCAAATTATAAAGGTAAAATTAAGCAATACAAGCAGACACTTTAACAAATCATGAAGCCACAGCACATAACCTATAACGAAAATGACGCGCAATTCTTGGAGCAAAAACTGACCTAGTAGCGACATCTTTTAGACACCTTTTTAATGAGATATATATTTCTAAAGGACAAACCTTAAATAAGAGATGGCGCATGAGGAAATATTTTAAATAATGGGCTTATTTTTTAATCAATTTAGGCAAGAGTGGCAATTACTGTTACAGTAGCGACTACTGGTACATTCACCTTAAATAATATATTTTTCTAATTTTGACATAAAAAGTGACTTTTTTTGTAATGGAAGCAAATGTCAAAAAGATCTGCTTTAGACAACCATTTGCATAATGTTAAACATTATGAAACTGGTTTTAAAAAATTCATTATGTCACTAATTGCGAAAAGAAAGCAAATAAAAGTAAACCATTTTTGGTTTTAAAATCAATAATATACTTTATTAGTTTATATCAAATTTACAAAATAGGAATAATCTTGTTCTGGTTCTTAGTTTTCGTTCTAATTCAGCACAAAATAATTAAAACACAATACACTACTAAATAACCCACTTTTTTGAAAGCTAAATAACTTAAAACACACTACAAGTCATTAAGCATAATCAATTAATATGGTAACGCAGCACCCTGTAGCGTGCTGCGGTCGTCATAAGTAAAGGTAGTAACATTACATGTTAATGTTATCAGTTGGAGTTATTGTATCAGTTGAATTGAGTTATTGTAAAAGTTGAATTGAAATAAATTGCGATACGAAAAACCTGCGTAACAATATTATGTTCTATTTCTCAATAAAATTATGTATATGCAACTAACAATACAAGAAAGTAATCATATTAGTTGCCTAGATATCATTAATTTCTTACCAAAACACAATTTTATAAATAATCATGTCAAAATTAGAAAAAAATATTGTATGTATCACGCTACGAAATGCTGTTTTATGTAACTCGTTCCTGTTGCGGGACCTCGCTCTGGTCATCCCGCAAAAATTCACTCGTTAGATAAAATAAGGAATTTAGTAACTGGTTTCATAAATAGCTATTCTATTGAAAAATTTTAAAAAATAATTAAACCAATATTTTAATACCAGATGGCCAAATTTTAGCATTTATAAACCAGCATATTGAATATTATATAATGATGAAAATTTAAAAATCGGTAAATAAAATTCCTTTTCAGTGCTCCCAGAAATCCCTAATTGATTTTTTAAATCCATTTTGACAAAAACTTTGTAATTGCGTTTTGTTGTCCACTCACGCACCACTTTAAAATGTTGGAGAGAAGCAATGGCCTAGCAAAAATGGTGAAGGAAGTGAAATTTATGAAGAACATAACACAAATTTGAAAATAGACCAAAAATCAGCCATAAGAAAATAAGTAACGTGCATGCCCACTCACGTACTACTTTAAAAAGTTGGAGAGAAAAAATGGGCCAGCGAAATTGGTGGAGAGTTTAATATTTATTATAGAGTGGCACTTATCGTCGAATGAGCATAAAGAAAATGTTAAGAAAATAAGCCAAGTTTTGACAGGCACGTACTACTTGTAATGTCTATAAGCTACCTAAGCGCCTCAGTTTGAACGTCGCCCTTTCGTGAATTCGTCATAGCACAAGTTAATAATAAATACATCTATAAGAAAATAAGTCACAAATCTGCACGTTGGCTCTAGGACTAATAGCTTTTACTTAAAAAAAGGGAAATGACCACCAGTATTTATAAAAATACCATTTTTTTTATAACAAATTGGAAGTATCACAAAATATAAAGCGGAGGTAATAGTAGTTTGTTCAACAAACGAAAATCTACAAATTTAAAAAAATATTTTAGCTTATTAAGACAAAATAACAAAATTTTTGACTTTTTCTAATTTATAAAATAAAATAAAAGTAAAAAAATAAAAATACGATTTAATTTAATTAGTCACCAGCCCAGATTTGAACCCAGGCCTTTCGCGTAGAATATTTAATCTCAATAAATAAAATATAGTAGTCGGGTGACCAAAATATGTACTGTGATAGGTGGATTTCATTTTTTGCAGTGTTCCCCCTACCTAAAATGGATAACAAATACGAGTCCTAACAACTAAATGTTCGAACAAACAATAATTTAATAAAAACGTTAATTTACATAAACTAAATTATTAAATTGAAGAATTACATAAACAATATATTAAATTATATCATTCATATTCAATTTTAAACACAATAAAATACACTGTATGCGAATAAATAAACAAAAAATATTGCACAATATCATGACAACAAAATGTTCGGAAAATTTACGGAATTACTATTTTAATATGGCGTTACATTGCCATGTGCTTTTACAACCGCTGCAATCCTATCAGGCATTGTTTTTATTATTGATTGACATAAATCTTTGCCATTATTCATCCAATTTCTTCTTCAAATCGGCAACGGTTCTCTAGGAATCATTACGCAATTTTTGTTTCATCTTATGTCATAATGCCTCGATAACATTAAGGTCCGGACTGTTCAAAGACCATGAGAGGACATTAATGTTTTTATCCCCAAACCATTTTTTAGTAGTTTTCGCCGTATGGCATGGAGCACCGTCCTGTTGAAATATAAAATTCATGTCCGGGTAAAGAACTTCCGCGCTTGGTACAAGACTATTTTCCAAAATTTCCTAATATTTTGCGGCATTAATTGTACCTTCTACCACCTCATAACTTCCTAGACCCACTGCGAACATGCACCCCCAAATCATGATGACTTTAAAAAAATTTACTGTCCTTTTGAGGCAATCTTTATGAAATGCTTCATTTTTAGTTCTAGTAACCCGTTTACGAAAGTCTCCCATACACACGTCAAACTTCGACTCGTTACTAAATATGACTTTGGACCAGTCTTCAACGGTCCATAACATTTTCGATTTTGCCCAATTAAACCGATTTATTTTCTGCTTCTCTGTTAGTAAAGGTTTTTCTATCGCCTAAAACATTACGAATAATAAAAAATCATGAATTAAATAAAATCTTTCGAACCAACCTTATAAAAACTAAGTCCTGATTTGTGTATCCACTTTCTACAGCACTCTCTCGATAAAGTATGTCCTGTTTCTGCATTCCACTGTGTTTGTTACGACGACCCCGTTTGCAAATTTTTACAAGTAATTGTCGATCCCTGTCAGACACACTTCTCGGTCCTCCCAAACTTTTGCCTTTAGTTTGGTCACTTCCACTCTCAAGATAGTGTTTAAGTATGTCCTCAACTGTCGACTTAGCCAAATCTAATTCATTCGCTATTTCACGTATTTTTTTTACCCTGACAATATTTTTTGATTATCATTTCACGAATTTTTACATTTGTTGCACTTCCTCTGACCATTTTGGACTCAATTTATCAGAATTTTTGACAAAACCACAGAAGTTTATCCTGTGACAAAACAGTTTCTAACAAGTAACTGTTAATTAATTACCAACTTACAATAAGTAAATAACAAAGTTATGTATTTTTTATACACGGTAGCTAGATAAATCCAAACATTTAGTTGTCACGATATTGTGCAATATTTTTGTCTATTTATTTGCACACAGTGAAATTCAATGTATTTAGAAACCAAACCGTTTAAATGTTTATTATAAATGATAGATTTTAATATATTGTTAATGTAGTTTGTCCGAACATTTAGTTGTTAGTGCTCGTATATTCGTTCTACTGAATGCAATAGCATACTTTTTCGTTTTGTAGTCTTTGTGTAAATAAGCTAATATCCATGTGGGTGTAAAAAAATATTTTTATTCATAAAACCGTAATAATAGGAATAAAAGGTGTTTTATATTAAGAATTAATTAAAAGGGAATGTAATTTTAAAACTTCCGTGTACAATACCACTGCAGGAATTCTTAGTCTTCTTGTTTTTTTTTTTTAAGTTTGAACTTAAAGGGGTTTTATAGTAATCTACTCCCATACTTGTATCGCTCAACATCGCTAGTGTTATTTGTTTATACTTGAAAAGAAGATGGGTGATCTTAGAAATTATTGTCAATATAATTTTTATAAAATATATATGAGATTTAATTTGTTATTATTATTTTTTTATTTCATACACAATACATTATTGTTACCCAATATATAATTAGGGTACTAGAATACATTTTTATTTTTAACCAACCCAAGGTAAAAAAATTGGCATTGTAAGAAGTTGTAATAGACATGTCCATAAACTGGGAAATATATTTTATTTTGATGGTTATTTGTAGCCTTAATATTAGACTCTAAAATACTTCATATCATTGTTTTACTTTCAAGTTCTTTGCACAGCTTTTTGTAATAAGCTGTTTGAGTGTCCATTTGAATATCGTCGTCTTTTAAAGATGTTTCCCGCTAAACATTTTTACTACTTGGTTTGTTCGGGTTTCTTTAAAACTTAATGCAAACCGTCTGAGAACCAGTGGAACAGATGAATTCCAAATTATTTGTCAAGTAGAACTATTAAACTGTCCACAGGTCCTATAGTAGGTATATTCGGGTTCTTCAAAATTACATTGAGAACTATCAGAGGACTAGTTGACCAGTGGACAATTTAATAGTTTTACACGAAGAATTCAACTGTTACACTGGTTCGGGCGGTTTACATCAAGTTTTAAAGAAACCCGGACAAACCTAATAATAAGAGATCATTTGGGTTCAGTATTAAATAAAACGTTACTTCTATTCGTGTACTACTTATCATGCACAACATGAACAGTTGTAGAGGGGGTCGCCTATGTCCTATTGCGTACACAGCAAGTTTAAATATCCTACGTTTGCTGAATTTAGACCAAATATATTTAGACAGTTATAATATTTTGGGCCCTTTTAACTATGATACAGGCATTAAATTATCTCTAAAAAGTTTTTTTTTAAATAAATTTCAAACTAATTCAAATTCATTTTATATATACTTTGCTCTAACCCGAAGCAATACATTCTTTGGTTGATATGCAATCATTTCTTTGATATTCATTTTTACATACAATGTCAGTAGGTCATATTCCACAACTATAACAAGACTAAAACTAAACCACGGTTGTTTCACAGTAGACCTCTTTAGAATTATGTATCAATGAGAACTCTACATGTGAATGCGGCAACTTAACAGTCGATGACTTAAATTAGATATTTTTTAATTATCCCAAATGAAAGTACAATTTCGTAACTTTATGAAATCTCTAGTTTCACTAAAAGTAAATCTTCCATTTTACATTAGTACATTAACTAAGTACATTTGATAAACCTCCGTCACACGTACTTAATTTAGTACTGAAAATTGATATTTGGCATACAAAAAAACTTGTAGAATATTATTTTAAGTTCTAAATTAATAAATTAATTGTTTTCTAAATTTAATACCTAATTTAGTAAATTAAAAAGGATATCCAACTGTTCGAATGTGGTCATCTTAAATAGTAAAATAAAATCAATCCCAAATGAAAACATATTCTTTTTATGCAGAACGCGTTTCAATTTATTAATGTCTTAATAGAAATATGATACTAGAATTAAGCTTATATTTAATTTGTTTACCCAGGTACATGCTACTTTCCCGAACGCTGGGAGGGCACATGGTTCCAGTCTGGAGTTAGGCAATCAATTCTAATAGAAGGACCAAGACTGAGTAGTAAAGGAAGATGTGTAGGTTCAGAAGGAGATAAATTTCTACTACTAGATGAGTAAGTTTTACTTAAGTTTTACTTAAGTTTTACTTAAGTTTTGAAATATGAGAAATAAAAATATTTTGAAATCATTATCATTCATCTTTCTCAATCTAGTTAATCATATAATTATCATTTTAAAATAATGTTTATACAAAAACTTAATACAAAATGGCAAATTCATTTATTTTATTTTAACAGCTGCATTCTGTATTCCTTGCATATTAAAATATAAATAATGTGATTAGTATTTAAATATGATTCATTAACATTTAGTTACTTTTAATAAACATTTTTATTTATTACACCTGTGAAGTTTTATTTTCGATTAATTTTTTGAGAATTTTTTTACAGTTAATTTTCTGTCTTATTTTATTTTAGTAAAAAGGCCTGCTATAGATGTGTAGTAATCCATGAGAAGCACATAAATGTACTTCAGTATAAAGAAAGTAAGTAGAATTATTAGCGAATTTGACTGTGTTATGTAGATATTAGATTTTGCCCACAACTTCATGGGCATAGATGATGAGGAAATCTACGCACGATAATTGTAACCGAGTACCGTTAGAGTTTTAGCGACTTGAGGTTTCGGAGACGCATTATCGGTGAATTCAAAAACTCAAACAATAGATCACAGCGTCATCTGCATTACAAGCAGTGTCTATTGAGTTGTTGAATATTTCTTCTTCGTTAAATGACTTTAGCAACATGTCAATGATAAAGGTGACTTGATCAATTATCGTGGTCATAGTAGCTCGTTTTTAAAGCCATTTTATTGTTTATCCCGTATTCCCACAATATCTGAGTAAATGCGATGTATTAAGTCCTGGACGGTAGTCACTAATATGCCCAGCTCGTCTTTGATAATCATCATACACCATATTTGGATGGAATATTACCTGTTTCCTTTTTCAATAATAGATTAAATAATTTCGCAGCATTAACATCACCCCCCAGATGTGCTATCATATTTTTTTGTTAGCTTCAGTATTTGTGCTGCGGGCCACAACATTAATCTTTTCAGACAGGCTTTAATTTCTTCTAGGTACTACGCGAAACATGTAAAAGAATCTAAGAGGCTGAGAAAACTGTTACCTGCTTCTGGCCTTACGCGTAGTATTAGAAGAGAAGGGTACTAGCTAGCGTTATCCAGTACCAGTCACCGTATATTATCCCGTCATTGGTATACGGTAATAAATAATAAGAAACTGCTACCTACCAAAACTAAATAGGACGCGCAGAAGAATGTCAATAAGAATCTCCGCGTCTACAAAACCATATCGGCAAAAGGGGCAGGAGTCATTGCTGGCTCTCTGCTAATGGTGTTCTTAATTAAAGAAAATATCAAGGGGCTGACATGCAAAGTCATTTTAGTATTATAGTCTATTATCTGACCGCAAAAGGTAACACGTCGTGTGTTTTGGTTACTATTTGTAGATGGATACAGAGGAGGGGTGAGCAACGTTTTGCAAGCATTTTATGTCATCCGGTTTTGCTTCATTCGGTTTGTAAGAATTTCCCTACATCGACAGTAGCAAAACCGGATGACAGAAAATGCCTGCAGAAGGATTTTTTTAATGTTATAGTTTAGAAGCAAATTATTTCATTGCGAGCAAAAAACGAAAAAAAAAATTCCGTCGATAAGAAATAATATTTTTAATTTAAAAGATTGTTCACCTCCCTCCCCTCTGCCCAACTACAAATACTAAGCAGTCAGGTGAGGGACTATTAGAATGACAAGAGAAGTGAAACCGTAGTACAAAGGGAGGCTGGATGTGGACACTACTTCCTAACATCGAAAAGTGCTTGAACGACTACACGGAGAAGTCAGCTACTTTTTAACCTAACCGTTGTCTGCACACATATGTTTCTGCAAATACTTATACAACCGAAGAAAAGCAGAATAAAAAGATTGCAATTACAGTGGCCTGATGGTCGATGCCGAACACACTCTATTCGCGTGTCCTAGATGAAAAAACCAAAGGAAAAACTTGCTGAGAAACACGACGAAAGAAGTTTTTAATGCGGGAAATATGATGTCGCATATATTGAAATTAGAAAAGTGCTTCGAGCACCAAGTTCTTTGGAAAAGTAATTGCCAGCATCAAGCACCAAGCACTTTGGAAATTCAATTACTGAGAAAAGTAATTGTTTTTACATATATTTTGGATAATTATTGGAATTGAATTTCTGGACACCAAAATTAATTTCCTATATTCGCTATTTTTGTATAGATTTTTGCAAATGCATAACTTTTTTAAATCAGTTTTTTATAAATATTGGGTAATTATTGGAATTGAATTTCAGGACACCAAAATTATTTTCCTCTATTCGCTATTTTTAGTATAGTTTTTTAAAGTTTGGGTTAAAATGACTATGTTAATCATTTACAGCAGGGACCAATTATTCTATATTGTTTAAAAAGACATTTTGTCTTAACATTTTATTCACAAAATTTCGCAGTGTTATTTCAGACTATCGGAAATTTGGATATAGGTACATGAAAAAAAACTAAATGCAAAAACAGTAATAATTCATAGGCAAGCACTTGAAATATATTTATGCTTGCAAGTCCTGTAGTGCTTGAAAGCCTTTTAAGCGCTGGCAAGCTCTTTTAAGAGCTGGCAAGCACTTTAAATGGCTTGAAATGCAAAATAACCAATTACTGAGCACTTTGGCTTTGTCAACCAAATATAGACTCTTCCAGTCCATTTAGGAGTGGAAATTCCGAGGCTTCTCAAATACTCGGAATATTTTATAATTGGTTTTGCGAAGGGGAGGATAGAATAATTATAAGTACTACAAGTATTAAAAGTAATTTTAAAAAACCGACTTCAAAATCGTTCAGATGCCGTCACCACATCTTAACCAAATTTATATGAGGTACCCCCTTACTAACAAAAAAGAATCATAGAAATTGAAAAAGGTGGTAAAGAATTATCGCTAAACATAGATTAAAAATGAAGAGTTTGAGGATTTTCTAATGGACCCAATTATTAGATTTTGACCAAATTAATATGGGACCACCTCTGAAGAATCATTGAAATCGGACGCCGTGTTAAAGAATTTTTAGCTATAATACTTCACATAAAAATAAATATATTACGACGAATTGAGAACGTCCTCCTTTTTTGAAGTCAGTTAAAAACAGTAACAAATGTATATTTAAAATAATTACAAGATGACTAATAGTCTTAAGAATAAATAAGTCAAATTATATTTAGGGAATAAAGCACTATTTGATAATATGTCCAGCAAACTTTTAATAAAGACCTATAATTTATGACTATTAGGTAAACTTTCTATTGAATTATATAGTTTGGACTTATTAACAACTAAAATAACACTGGAAACTTCTAACTATATAATGATATAATACTCGGGATGAAAATCGAAAAATTGGCAATTATATAGAATTAATTAATTAAATTAATTACCTCACAATAAAACCCAAACATATGTTAAAATACATTAAAAATATTTACCTATAGTACATAAATAGCTATACAAAACTTTACATATTAAGGTGTTTCGGAAACTAGGGTCCCGAAACAAGAGTCTTGCCTTTATTCTTCTTGTGCAGTTGCAACGTCTTTTGATTACCCTTTGACAGAATATTATAAGTACATCTCAGGTTTTTCAGCAAAAAAAATTGTTTATACTAATTTTCTTAATAACCCCAAAAGCATATTTAAATATCAATCTCTCAGTTATTGTTTACTATAAATATTAATTTTCAAAACATTGTATTTAAATAATTTTTATTGTAGTTATCATTTTCTAATTCTCCGAAAAATACAAATTTATGAACTTTTGTTTTATTATATTATCTGATTTCAAAATTCTTGTGAAATCATGTAGTTTGAACACACTAAGATTTTATAAATTTGTAGTACTTTATTCTATCCATTTTTGTTTTCGAACTGAATTAATAACAAAAGCTGGTACGTTTTATTACAGAAACAATACATACATTATATGTTTCATGAAATAAGGCTACTATCTTTTTAGCATATAAACATAAATTGGATTAGTACCTACACTTAATAAAATCCAATCAAATAACCCCTTTTTATTTTTATCCTAATCATCCTATTAAATTTCCCACCTACAGGTTCATCGAATAGGTTGACCTGCCAAATGCACCCCGACAAATGTGGCCTACACAAATGCGGCCCTGACAAATGCGACCCCGGCAAATGCGCTTTCAGATATAATCTCCCACGACAATTGTAGACCAGGGGTAGTATTCTCGAATCACGAATACCGACATTCGCATACGTGTTTTACAATGTGTCTCACTTTGTTGAACGAAAACCAAGTGAGACAAATCATAAATCTCGCATGCGAATCTATATTCGTGACTCGAGAATACTACCCCAGGGTCGATAATTTTGAATATGGTAAAAAGTGAAAAAAAAATTATAGTAGGATGAAACCCGTTAAAAAAGGACGAGAATATAACAAAAAGGAAAGGAAAAATAATTTACGGGCGATCTGAGGTCGGGAAGTGGAAGAGGGTGAGTTTTTAAGGGTAAAAAACGGTGTATATTGATTTCCGGCAAAACTACAAGTCCTATGGAAAAAAATTAAATGACAAAGTTGTAGGTAATAACAACTTTTGTAATTACACTTTTTTCACATAAACTCAAAATTTATGTGAAAAATTCAAATAGGTTTTTTATTTTTATCTTATGCAAAAAAAATTTTTTTTTCACGAAATTTTGTGAAAACTTACCTTTTTATGTCCTAAAGACACTGTAATATTTTTGATTTAAAATATTTATTTTTTCACCTTATTTTGACTTAATATCGAAAAAACACCCTAATTTGTACATAGTGATAAAAAAAATTTAGGATTCGAGTTTTTTTCTTTTCTTTGCATTTTCTGAGAATATTTACCATAGTTATATATATATGTTTTTACATTATCAGAAAGAAGAGATTTTAACGAACTTTTTTTTGAAAAGCTGATATTTTAACGCGAGAATTTTCGATTGAAAATTAGGGTGTTTTTTCGATATTAAGTCAAAATAAGGTAAAAAATAAATATTTTAAATCAAAAAAATTACAGTGTCTTTAGGAAATAAAAAGGAGTGTTTTCACCAAATTTCGAGAAAAAAATTTTTTTTTGCTTCAGATAAAAATAAAAAACCAAAAACTTGATTATTTAAATTTTTCACATAAATTTTGAGGTTATGTGAAAAAAGTGTGATTACAAAAGTTGTAGGTCTCTTTCTTACCTACAACTTTGTCATTTTTTTTTTTTTTCATAGGACTTGTAGTTTTGCCGGAAATCGAGATACACCGTTTTTTACCCTTAAAAACTCACCCCCTTCCACTTCCCGACCTCAGATCGCCCGTAAATTATTTTTCCTTTCATTTTTGTTATATTCTCATCCTTTTTTAACGGGTTCCATCCTACTATTATTTTTTTTTGGTTTAAAAATTATCGACCCTGGTCTATTGCGCCTCCCGACAAAATTAATTTCAAATAAAAGATTTATGGATTTAAAAAAAGGCAAATTTTAAAAATATTCTTGGATATACAGGGTGTTACGCTATTGCCTGGTAAATAAAATTATAATTTTTCAATTGAAACACCCTGTGTTTTAGATTGGTCCACGTAATAATGTATTTCTCTCTAAAATATTTCCGATAAATATAACAGGGTTATTTTGTTTGACATTTCTTATAACAAAACACATTTTTGTATTTTATTTACAATGGTTTATACTATTACACGGTAATTTAATAATATATTTGAATATTTTTGAAAACTCGCTTGTCTGAGTCGGGAATCAAACAGGCATGAAGTAAAGCAAACATTGACAAACATGGTTTTTGTAGGGATTTTTTCCTAAATTAGAGAAATGTAACCATAATTAAATCACATGGTCAAACTTTATAATTCGCTGGCCTAGATTAACTCATCATCTACGCTTACAAAGTCGCAGAAAAAAAAAAGTTATTTTGGATTAAATTTATTTCTTTCAATATCAGGCTATTATAATTAAAAGTAATTTAATGTGGTTTATTCTAGCATATTGCCACAGTCGAGAACTACTCCCCTCTCTATGTGGCCTTATCACAGGCGATGCTCTCCTGTACTCCATGTTCAGGGAGAACGCTGTACCAATTCCCTGTCCCTTTAAAGGACCCTTCACCTTCACATATAACCGCGGTCATGGAGAGTGCAGGTATCCCGTTTCCAGCATAGACACGTGCATCGAAGAAAGTAAACTGCTTTTGAGCTATCAGGCTTGTCCCGACGTGCATGGGTCAGAAAGTGCAAGTAAGTGTGGTTTTAATTTTTTTATACGATTTTAATGTTTGTACAACGTATTCAGGATCATAATTTAATTTATTTACTAATATACTGTCGAGGATAAGAATATTACATATGGTAAACAATTTGTTGTTTCCAAAATTTTATGGCGTTAAAATAATAATAAAAGTACTATCGGAATAAAATCTAACAAACAATTAATGTTTAATTTTTTAGATTTTCACACAGATAATTTGTAATAAGATGATAATTTTATCTTGTTTACTAATTAACCTTATTTTTTATTTGAATTATCATAATTATACTTAGATTAATTAATTGTAATAAAAGAATTATGACTAAAAAAAGCACAAAATAATATTGTAAATTATTGAAATGCGAACAAAACAATCTTATAGTTTCTCATCTGACTGACTGCAAAAAGTGGCACGTACTGTTTTTTGCATTCTATTTGTAGATAGGTAAAAAGAAGGGGGCCACAACATTACATCTATGTAATTTCTCTACATTTCTCTACATTTCTATACATTTCTATACATTTCTATACATTTCTATACATTTCTATACATTTCTATACATTTCTATACATTTCTATACATTTCTATACATTTCTATACATTTCTATACATTTCTATACATTTCTATACATTTCTATACATTTCTATACATTTCTATACATTTCTATACATTTCTATACATTTCTATACATTTCTATACATTTCTATACATTTCTATACATTTCTATACATTTCTATACATTTCTATACATTTCTATACATTTCTATACATTTCTATACATTTCTATACATTTCTATACATTTCTATACATTTCTATACATTTCTATACATTTCTATACATTTCTATACATTTCTATACATTTCTATACATTTCTATACATTTCTATACATTTCTATACATTTCTATACATTTCTATACATTTCTATACATTTCTATACATTTCTATACATTTCTATACATTTCTATACATTTCTATACATTTCTATACATTTCTATACATTTCTATACATTTCTATACATTTCTATACATTTCTATACATTTCTATACATTTCTATACATTTCTATACATTTCTATACATTTCTATACATTTCTATACATTTCTATACCTTTATTTACCTTTGTATACAATTCTGTACATTTCTATATATATATATATAGCAATGCCAGTTTATACGGCCCAGCCAACGCAAATCATAGATAAAATGTTTCCAATAGTATAAAATTTGTGCATTAGTGCTCTTATTCGTTTGGTGAGATATGGTATTTGCTTGTTTTCTTTTTTATATTTAATTTTTTTTCTGCTAGTCGAGGGTTCAATAGTTTTTACAATTTTTGCAATTTTTTATTATATCTATTTTGAAAGCTTTGACATTAGTTATATTTATCGAGTTGTTAATGGCATCTTTCACTTCTCGTGTTTTTACTGTGATTAACTACCACTATACAACTGATAAGTGAATCGGTCTAGTTTTTAACTTAGTTCTGGCCGAAATTACTTCAGATTTTCAAATTATTTAAGTAAAACACGACTACTCACAAGATACCATAAGTATATAATGAATCCCTTTTATTTTCAGTTGAGGAACTTCAATGTCTAGCTTTATGGAAAGAGGGCAGTTCGAGGTACTTAGTAGGCAAAATATACCACAGTCATGTTACTTCCAACGAGGACAGGTATCGATGTTTCGTATACGAGAAAGCTTCCTCAGCTTCGGAAGCCTTAGACGGCGTGGATTACAGGGTGGCTCAAAGCGGTGATGCTACTTGCAACGGACTCTTCAGTGCCACTGAAGGTAGTCGAACTATGACCCTTAAAAAAGGTATAAATTCGTCATTACATTGTAAACAAGTTTAAAAAAAAAAACATGAATATTTTCAGCACTTCCACTCAACAAATGTCGCTTCCCGTATTGGATAGCAAACTCCAATCACTGGCACAGCTTGGATTATTCTTCCACTTACAGTTTTCATCATAAAAACTCCACTCTTAGAATTACCAATTCTACTGGGATCGACATGAAGATCATTTGCGTTCAGTTAAAGCAATCTACTAGAGATGAAAATGCTGTCGTACTTGTAACTCACTTTACTATGGGATGGTAAGTACACAATGTTAAATTTCAATTAAAAACTCATACTTCAAGATTGTATAACGATTTTAATACAAAATCAAGAACACGTGCCTTCTAAGTAATCTTACAAAGAAAATGTTTGACATTAATCAGGTTTTTTTATTTTAGTCAAAATGGGTACGTATGTATTGCATTTTATCGACGTGACATAAATGTAATGGAAATGCAAATGGGTACGCAAACCAATAGAAGAGAAGATTCTTGTAACCAGAACTTCTTTGATAAAAACATTTTGCCTTTCATCACCTTAGTCAGTAAGTATTTACAATAATAATAATAATAATAATCTATATTACGGAAAAATCGTCTTTACTTCACCATCCTGTATTTTATTTGTGTAATATGCAAATTTATTTAAACTTCAATTATTTTTACTTATCTATCACAGTTACTTATATTCAAATAAAATAGACGCTTAAAAAAACTTTAAATAATTTATTTTATATAATTCAGGTCAACTTTTTAAATTTTTCTTTGATTTGTCAGTTTTTTTTACCTTAGGGTGAGAACGGATTCTTAAGTTTCATACGGGTGTGTGAAGTTAGCATCTCAACTTTCAGCATCTCATATTTTAGGCAGAGTTCTTATGGCATTCGCTATAGTTCTATAGTTCCTGATACTTTCTATCAATAGTTCTGTCGAATTTAGTACCGAAAACAGCAATTTAAAAAATGAGATGCTAACGAACGGAAGTTAGCTTCCAAATATAATAAATAAAATAAAATAAAAAAAGCCTACGCTAAATCGATAGTTTACGAATGGTTCTAAAGTTCTTGTTAGTTTGCATAGCTAAATTATTTCATTTATAGCTCTGGCGCTGTTAAGAAAATTATAGATAATTATTATATATATAAATTTTAGACGTTAGTAAAATTTTGTCATATTATGACAACTTCTAGGACACATAATGCTTCTAAATGATAATTTTACACTCTCTGCATTGAGAACCGAAGAGTCTTAGCCTCTAGCCCTTTTTCAATAATTTTAAGTAATAATAACAAACAAAAATTATAGACCATAGTGAGATCCTGGCACATTATGACGAGTTCTGGAATACGTAACGCTTTTAAGTGATAACTAGATTATCTCTGCATGGAGTTGCCAAAAGTTCTAGCCCTTAGCACTATTTGAATAATTTTAAGTATTAATAATAAACATAAATTATATACCATAGTAAGATGCACACACATTATGACGAGTTCTAGAATATATAACGCTTCTAAATGATAACTTGACTCTCTCTGCATTGAGATCCAAAGAATTGTAGCGTTAAGTTATCATTTAGAAGCATCGTAATTTAGAAGCATTATGTATCATAATATAATAGAATTTATATGTATAATAGATATTTATAATTATTTTAAGAGGGCCAGAGCTATAAATGAAATAATTTAGCTATACAAACTAACAAGAACTCTAGAACTATTTGTAAACTATCGATTTATCGTCAGCTTTTTTTATTTTATTCAATTTATTATATTGGGATGCTAACTTCCGGCTGTTAACATTCCAGTTCTTGGTACTAAATTCGACGGAACTATTAATACAGAGTATCAGGAACTATAGAACTACATCAGATGGCCATAAAAACTCTGCCTTAAACTTGAGATGCTGAGATATGAAATGCTAACTTCACACACGTGTTTCATACGGGCAATTTGAGTGTTCATTTTAACATTACCAAATTTGTTATATGTTTCTTCTTTTACTTTCAGCAACATCAATAGATACCCAGAATTGTCCGTTTGCGGGTAAATTCGATGTGACGAACTTAGTCCAAAACAAGCGTGACTCTGGTCTAAGTAAATATTCCCAAAAAGAGGATTCCAGATATTTCGATTCAAGTTTCTACTTCCGGAAGCAGAGGAGGTCTATATATTTTGAACAATTAGAATACGGAAGGAGACGTGTTAAGCGTGTAGATGAAGATTTTGACTGTGATAGTAACGGTTTTACTAAACTGATTATTGGGTGTGTCAGCTTCGATACTATGGAGTTCGCCACAGATTGCTCAGCTCCAAATATAATTACTTGTAAGTATTATGACGTATTGTCTTTGTTTTATTTTTATTTTACAATTTACAATATAGTAAATTCACTAACCCAAATGAAATAATGTAAAAAATAAGCAACCCCAGCAGTAAGAAATTTGTGAGTTTTACACCAGTGGCATCTCAACAAATTCGATTAATTTCATGTTGCAGATTTTTGTTCCTTAATTTGTTGTGAATTACTCGATTTTGTCAAAAATGATGTGGCACGGATTACATGGACTGCCGTAATTCTTTACCACATTTTGATATTTTGAAGATATTACGTGAGTAAAAATTGTAAAATATTAGGAAGATCGTATGTCTGTAATTGAAGATTATTTCGCTTGAAGATCGTAGGAAAAATTTTTGCCCGTCTCGAAAAGTATTTTACAGTTTTAAACGATTTTCTTCTAATTATTTATTACTATAAAAAACTATGTATTTATTATTATGCAGGGTGTTAAATTTAATGAAGGGTAATGCCACGAGCCCTTCAAATTTTATCGATAAAATTTTTAGTTTCCACTAAGACGTCTTTATTTGGAAAAACCACGTCCTGCGGATTTTCTCTTAAATCGGTTTGTTTTGGGCGGAAATAAAGTCGTTTGAGTATGAAAACTCAAAATTTAATAGATACAATTTAAAAGGACGAGAGGTATTTGAAAATATCATTTCTTGAATATATGAAAAAAACACACTAAACGTATTTAGAAGTGTTTATTAAAATTATAAATATTTGTTTTTTTATAGTAATGCAATGTCCTTTATAGTCTAAAAAAAATAATGAAAATAGCAATACCGTAATACTGTAAGACTCAAACTGTGCTCCGCAAAGCCTTTGTGGAGGCTCTGCGAAGAAAATAATAGTCAATAAAAAAAAGTAGTACTAGCAGCACAAAAGGGAGGGAGCTGGCTTGAAGACCTTTTTTTTGTCACCAAGAGGAAGGAGGTTATGTTTTAGCTTGGAAGACTTTTTTTAGAACTGTGTCTAGGACTCCGTCAAATATTTCGTTTTTTCACAAGGTTACATCGCCAAAAAAGTTTGAGAAATACTGCTGTAAGATAAAGAATGAACAGGCGGCAGACATGTAAGCGGCGATATGAAGTAGATTGCTATTCCTTCACGAGAATGACATTTCCTAATTTTTAATGTTTTTACCGTGCTTAGTGTGATTTTAATGTCTTAAATTATGAAATGGAATAAGATCTATTTAATTTAGCAGAGTTATTTTTGTGTGTTACAAATGATTACCGATTTAAATTTTGCAGAGTAAAATTAATAATAATTTTGAAATTTTGGTATTAACATAGAGTTGAGCTATATTTTAGTTTAATAAAATTTTTAGATTGTGTTTAGTTATCAGTTCAAAAGGCAAAGTTTTATAAATAAACAAAAACGAAGGAATAGTTTAATCAGTATAAAATTCAATGGTTAGTTAAGATTGTGAGCTATTATTGGCTGAAATTACAGAATTTAATTGTTTTGACAGATAAAAAAATAATCTTGTTAAAAGGTTTAAGCAAAAATGATTATCGCAAATATATCAATGCAAACAAAACGCCACGCTTTATATTTTATAACACATTAACACCAAAAGTTAGCAAACTTTAAATTTGTTAAACATTAATGGTGAAATTTACAAATATTAAGCAAAACCTGCTTAGTAATACACAGAGCCACCAAATTTAAATAGTTAACTGTCAATTTTTTAAATTCGTATATTTGTAAAACTGGGTAAACTGGGAGGACTTAAGAGGTCTATTTGGCCGACATTGTATCGGTATCTGTAACGTGTGGAGGGTGGGTTAATCCACGGCACCTAGGCCTCATTAGACCCATTATGCATCCCCCTAAGATAATAGGCATCTTCTAGCTCGTGAGCCAGCCTACAGAATTAATGTAGGTGCTTCTCTTATATCGGCCGGTATTAGCCGATACTCGCCGAACACAAATATTCTAATAAATGAGAGCGTCGGGCAATCGTAGAGGATTTGCTCGATGGTCTCATCTTCTTGTTCGCACCCCCTGCAGAGTGCGGATTCTGACAACCTCGTACTTGGCAATGACCAGTCAGAATGCCCGTAACCAAGCGCAGATTCTTTCTAGTGTTGTCAGGATAACTTAAAAGCTCCCTGGCATATAGATGGGTATTATCTGGTAGGCTAAATAAATAATGACCTAAGATGGACGTCCACTGGACGTCAAAATACTTAACTTAAAATTAAGTCCAAAAACATACGTACACTGAATGTCCGATATAGACGTTCTGGCTCTAAAATGAATCTAAGGAGGAGATTCACTGGACCATGTGTGCTGTCTGTGTGAGCTTTATTTTGTTTAAGAACCGTCAGTGTTGATATGAATCGTACCTGCCACTTCCGGCTCTTTTATTTCTTCTGTTATAACTTTATATGACTTATGGAAGACATATTTTGGTGAGATGGGGTTAATGTTCGCTTAAAGCAGTGAGAGCGTATCGAGCGTCTCCTGCCAAAAGCGACGTCTTGCCTCACCAGATCCTACATCAGGTTCTATTCCGACCGTGCGGAGGCATGCCATTGTGTCATCAGAGCAACCTTCTTGATGTAAATATCAAGGGGAGTGAAACTAGGAATAACTTCCGTGGCTCTGGTAGGTATGGTTTTCATGGCTCCTCTTATGTTGAGACAAGCTGAATTTGTTCTAGTTTGCGGATAGCTGTCAATTTTTAGGTTTTAAGTAACCAAACAACTACACCGTATATAAGCATAAGTCATGTGATGGCCATGTAAATCTACGCGACAACTCTGGGGGAGAAACCCAAGGTAAGCACCACGGTTCGGAGGCATTGTCCATAAGCGATGTACGTTCTTTTAACTCTGTTTTCTAAGTGTGAGTTAACTTGCTGTTAAAGGTGAGACCTAGGTATTTCACTTCTGTTGCTAAGTTTAGTTTTATGTTTAGAAGTTCTGGAGGCTTTAATTCCAGTTTCATCCTTTTCCTTGTGAAAACTATTTCTATCTTCTTAAAATTGATAGACAGTGAATGGTACTTGCATCACTGTTCCCTAATTTGAGAGTTACTTACATCCTTTCGCTAATTATGTTCTCAAAATTCATCTGCATACGCTATTGTGTAGTGACTGTCATTATTGAGGCGGCTGATGAGAGTATCAAGGACCATGTTCTACAGTAGAGGTGATAACACCCCTCCCTGTGGAGACCCCTCGCAACCAAGCCTCTTATTTTTACATCTTCTACACTTATGTTTACTGCTCGCTTTGAGAGCATGTGTGGAACATTTCTGTTGGTTATTGAGTGTATTATCTTGGAGAAGGTGGTTTTATTAAAAGCACCTTCTATGTCTATGAAAACACCTTATTAGCTAGGGATCTCTCTATCCGGCTAGCAGTTAGGTGAAGGTCTGAATCAGTAGATCTGCCTGGGGTGTATGTATGTTGATTTGAGTGTAGTGGTGTTGTTTCAATCACCGCATCCCTTATGTAGGTACCTTTTGTATAGCCTTTCCAATGTCTTCATGGAAAACGATGTCAGACTAATTGGTCTTTATTTTTTGGGGATAGTGTAACTCATCCTTCCAGGTTTGGGTACGAATACCACTTTTACCTCTCTCCATTTTATGGGGATATACCTCAGAGCCAATGAGGATCTGACTATACTCACCAGGTCTTGGTGATTTAAATGAAGAGAAGCTAGATATTGCCCATCTAATTTTTTCATCGTCGTTTGGCAGTTTGCCAGTCATAGACAGATATGTTGTATTCTTCATCTGTCCAGTTGGAATCGTCCTGTAATGACCGCGTCAGGGAAGTGTATTGACAGCAGAACCGACATTGTTATTGGCAGAAACAGCAAAACTTATTTAGTCATAAGAAATATTAAAGATTGACGAATTTATTTGCTCTCAAGAACCAATGTTATTAGAATGTTGTTAGAATTCGGTCCAACGAAATATAATATGTAGAGTAAGTATATATATTAAATAAAAATAATAAGCATACTGTGTTATCAGCGATTTTTAAAGCATATTCAACAGCTTATTTATATCAAAAAGCACACTTTGGCCTTCGTACAATTCACTGCACTAAATAATAACGAATATAAAAAATTATTCATTTAAAAATAATTTGTTTTTGACTCCACTCAAATAAAAAAAGTATAACACCATGTATAATAAAAAATATACTATTGGGTTTTTAGAGTAATAAATAATCTATCTAAAACATTATCTTTGAAAATTCAGAAACAAATCTCAAAAATCCACATACGAATTAATAAGACAATCCCCGAAACACAAATTTAAAAAAATACTTGGAGTTTTAAAAAAACGCCTGTCGCAGCCGTGCCGTGCAGATAAGTGTCTTTTTTTCTAGACTATCATCATATTGACTGTCGAGATTCCTAGACAGAAATTTAATGTGCTAATTCGGGCCAGATGGCGTTGAAGCTCGTTCTCAAATCTTCAAATAACTCTCTACAGTATCGGTGTGTATAAGAAATGCATTTATGCATACAAAGCCCATATCTTCGTATGTGGAAGATAAGTTTTCAATGTACATTAAGAGACGTAAACCTGGTGTGAAAATTTTGAATTTATTTATCGTAAAATCGCAAATCGAAATCCAAAAAGTCAGAGAAATATTTGAAATAAGCGGCTCAATAACGTGCATTAAAAACTTAACTCTCGCAAAGATATGGGCTTAGTATGCATAAATCCATTTCTCATATACACTGATGCTGCAAAGAGTTATTTAAAGATTTGAGAATATACAAGAATATACGCCACGGGTTCGATTCCTGGCAACGACAGGCTTTTTTTAAATCTCCAATTATTTTTTTCACCTTTGGGGTTTGGGAATGGTCTAAATAATTCATAGGGGAATTTTTGAGATTCGTTTCCGAATTTTTAAATTGTTCAGTCACTTAGTTTAGATATTTTTTTGACTTTTCGGATTTCGATTGGCGATTTTACTATAAATAAATTCATAATTTTCAGAATA